ACGTACTCATTATTGCACACGACAAGAGTGCTCATTAAGTTGACGATATGTATCGTATGAAATTTTCCGAGTAACCTAGACTTTCGCGTTTGATTTCAAGTATACGAAAATTATTAAATTTAATCGCGTTATGTGTTCCTGTTCGATGAAAATCGATAATAAACATTACTTAATAAATGTAGTTTAAAAGTACACGGAAGTCGGAAGATGCACACACACACACACAAACTCATATTTAGTGAACCTGCAAAATATAATAGCTACATAATCCAATCCAAATTTAAAGTTTTGATTCTATCAAAATGCATCGTATGCAAAGCTGTCAATTTAAATGTCTCAGGTTTTACTTATATAATATATTATAGTTTCATAAAGTTGTAATGTGTCATATAATAGAATTCTAAAACATATTCAAGGTATCGTGTTTCTCGAAACCAATACATATTAATGATTTTTTTTTTTTTTTAAGATTATACAGGTGTCCCAGAATAATCCGACAAATACAATAACTTTTGTTTTATTTATTAATTTTAATTTTTTTTTTTTTTTTTTCATTACATAAATACTTAAGTCCTGCGCTATAACAAAATTGAGTTAAATATTTTTTTGATTTTTAAAATTCAAATTTGAAAATGTATTCTGCAGTTAAAAAAAAAAAACCAAAATTACCATTTTATAAACTGGATTTTTAAAAAAAAATGTTGGTGTTTGAAAATCTAATAAAGGTAAATCCGTTAATTTTTTATCATTAATTCAAATTGTATGAAAAAATTAACAATATTATTGTGTAACTATCATATAATTATTTATTTATTATTATTTAATAATAATAATTATTTAATTAACAAAGCAGATTATTTAAAAATTAGTTCATTCTTGGGATCTTTTGTACTGGTATTCTACCTTTCATCCTCTTGATATTGATTCAGCGTTCAACACTTTTTACGACGCTCTACACAAATCTATACTTGATTTTGTCCCAAAGTGTACATTCCGCAAATCGACATATCCACCTTGGTATTCCCATGAATTAAAACAAGTTGTTGCGTTAAAGAAAAAGGCCCACGCAAGTTTCAAGTCATCTCTCAGCAGCCATGACTACAAAGAATTCTCCTTTCTCCGTGCTAAATTCAAATACCTTTCAAAAAAATGTTTTCGCGACTATTCCAAACATGCAGATAGCTCATTAACAAGTAATCCAAAAAAATTCTGGCAATTCATAAACAACAGTAGATCCGATCACAAAGATATCCCTAAAGTTGTTTCTCTTAATGGCACATCCTCTTGTAACGATCACGAGTCTGCTGAGATGTTTTCTTCATATTTTTCCTCAGTTTATTCTTCCAAGGTGATTCCATGTGACTTTGAAAGTCCGGACATTTATTCTTTTGATCTGCCAAACAACGTCTCTTTAAGCGTAGATGATGTCTTCCAAAAATTATCTGAACTACATTGTAACAAATCTGTCGGTCCAGATGGCATACCTGGTATATTTCTTTTCAAGCTAAAATCCATTATATCTTACCCCCTTTGGATCCTTCTTAGACGATCACTTGATGAAGGCATCTTCCCACACATTCTTAAATTGGGATCAATTACGCCAATTCTGAAATCCGGATGCCCAACTGATGTCTCCAACTACAGGCCCATCTCAATTTTATCGCATATTGCCAAAATGTTTGAGTCATTGGTCCAAAAGGATATTCTTAGATCTTTCAATAATATTATTATGGAAGAGCAACATGGTTTTCGTCCTGGTCGTTCTACTACCACTAACAGTCTAATTTTTTATAATTATGTTTTCAAGGCTTTCCAACATCATTCACAGGTTGACGTTATTTACACAGATTTTAATAAGGCCTTCGATACCGTTAACCATGACGTCTTAGTGAAAATTCTAAAAGATTATGGCACTGGTGAGCCGCTTTTGTCTTGGCTTAAATCCTACCTAGGTAACAGATATCAATGGGTTAAACTACCTAACGTTAAATCTAATGTGTTCTTTACCCCCTCTGGTGTTCCCCAAGGTGGACACCTGTCCCCTTTGCTTTTCTCTATCTTTATCAACAGCCTTAGTAAAACACTAAATCATTGTCAAGTGTTATGTTTCGCGGACGACATCAAGCTCTTTATGCTAATAAACTGCATTGAAGACAGTCTTAAACTACAAAGTGATTTAGATAGATTTGTTGCTCTTTTTATTAAATTAGGTTTGTCACTGAATCTAGGTAAATGTAAAGTCATGACGTTTACTAGAACCCGCTCTCCGTTAACGTTCTCCTACCATATTCATGATTCAATAATTTCTCGCTGTGATGAATTTACGATGGATCTTGGGTTCAAACTCTCCAGTAACCTTGACCCGGGCCTTCACATTGAAATGGCTTGTTGCAAAGCTCTAAGAATGTTGGGTGTAATAATGAGATTGTCAAAGGACCTTAACCTAACTTCTTCATTGAAAGTTTTATACTGTTCGTTAGTCCGGCCAATTATTGAATATGGTGCCATTATTTGGAATCCCCACACGGCCGACAACGCTTGCCAGGTGGAAAGGGTACAGCGTAGGTTCTTGCGATTTACCAGCTTCCTTTTAGACATCAAATGTCCACCGCATGATTATTCCCCAGTTGCTATTCAACTTAATCTAGCCTCACTGGCAGAGCGCAGGCGCATTATGGATAGCAAGTTCTTGAATGGACTGTTAGATGGTAGTGTTGATTCCCCGACTTTACTATCCTTAATTAATTTTAAAGTATCTCAACGCTCCACCCGCTCCATTACTACATTTCATGTCCCTTTTTGTTCCACCAACTACTTACTAAATGAGCCTATGAGGCGTATGATGCATAATGCCAATTTGGACCCCACTTTCTCTTTTAGTTAGTTCCCCACTTTCTCTTTTAGTTAGTTCTGTCATATATATTATTTTTGAAATGCCCATAAACTGTATTATCCCATTGCTACTTAATAACTACTGTTCATTTTAACACCTTCATGTATCTATATCTTTAATTGCATACCTATGTATATTTATTAGTATTATTTTTTTTTTTTTTTTTGTTTTTTGTTTCTTTTTCTCTCGCTTTGTAAACCATATTACCTGTTTTTCTATGTATAAAAGGGCTTAGCCCGTGTATTCTAATAAAATAAAATAAAATAAAAATAACCAATATTATTGTATAATGGCTGATAGAAATTTAATTTATTCCAAGATTTTTGCTATAATTTATAGCTATATCTTACTGTAATTAATTATAACTTGATATTTATCATTAAAAGCCCAATTAATTAAAATAGATACGTAATGTATCAATAATCAATATAACCAAATAACCTCAAAAATTAAAATTTGCTAATTCATAAGCGAAATAAATTAAGTTTCTAGGGGTGTAGTTTTTACTTAGTATTTATAATATCACTTAAATCACTTTGATCACAATTTTATTACATTCAACGTTTATTGATTCACTCATAATTTATTCTTGGGTGAAATCGCAGAGTTGTAGAGAAAATCTACTTATGCAATTTATGTTTGTGACATTTAAATAGGGTACAGTGCAATATGAAAAAAAATGTTCATCGAACTTGGTAAATAATGTTTACATTATATCATACTCGAAATCAAATTTGAATGTCTTTTTAATAATTGATTGAAAAAAAAAAAATAAAATATATTTGTTGAAATTTGTTGAAAATCATCGACAATTAGTCTATAACTAGTGGACTGTCATACTTATAAATAGCAAGGAACATATGATTATGAAATTTTCATTAAATTACATAAATTTATGTAAGTACAATAATAATTATTTAAATTAATCGCAATCACAAATTTTATCTTAATAGAAAGTACAATAACTATAGTAATATTAGTTATTATATTCACATTTTAAAAAACTTTAAAAATTCATGATAAATCAATAGTTAAACTTCGTTATTTTAAAATCATACTTTTCCTAAAAATCCGATTTACAAAATGGCTATTTTGGATTTTTTTTTCAAACTGTAGAATAAAATTCCAATTTTACAAATTTGAATTCTAAGTATCAAAAAAAAAATCTTTTAATGCAATTTTGTTGTAGCACAAAAATTAAGTATTTCTTTAAAAAAAAAAAATTAAAAATAAACGGAACGAAAGTTATTTCATTTGTCGAATCATCCAGGAACACAATGTATACGAAAAAATAATACTTGTTATTTAATTTTTATGAAACTATTTCATTATTTTTTAACTGTATTATTATCTGCCGACAATTCTTTCGATTCGCAAACAAAACCACATAATAAAAGAAGAAACTATTTAAATTAAAACTACGGATTTCTCTGGAATTTATAGAATATGTAGAACGACTTTGTTGTTAGTTGTCTTTATAACAAATGACTATCATCAATTTTCTACATAAAATATATTGATAACAATTTTAATATTTATCACTTGAAATAATACTTAATAAAAGGAAAAATCTTAACTCCTTCTTTTTCCTTAAATTTTTTAAAAAATTTAAATCTTTCAAATTCATATAATTTGGATGTAGTCCAACACAAAGCATTAATTTAATAAAAAATAAACAACTAAATTACATTAAACGACAAAACCTTTTTTAATAAATCAGAGAGATATAACCATTTCTTTTGTACTTAATACCATTAGAAATTTAAATCGCGATACAACGCTTTAGAAGACTTTTTTTATTAATATTTCTATTTCTACACATCTCTCTCATCCTGTTGCCAATATTTATATTTTAATACAATATACGATTATAATCCGTCCACATTAAATTGCATTAATATTTATCAATTAAATATTAATTTTGTTTCCACCATAATCCGCAAGTCATATCAAAAATAAAATTTTTGTTAAAATAAATTTTTGTTTAAATAAACTTTACCCATCGATTTGGTAGGCTATGGCAGAAAAATAAAAATTTGAAAATATCTAAAAAAAAAAATTCCCATCAGTTATTTCTATAACAATGAATTATAATACTGTAGCATACTTTTGTTAATTGTTATATCATCATTCATATGGGCGCATGTAAATTCCACTGATTGCTACCTTTTTAGACCTTTTTTCAAGTAAATTCCTCCAATATATTTTTTTTTACCTGAAAAAAATAATGTAAATTTCACCGGTAAGTTTTTTTTTACCTGAAATAAAAGTAACATTTTGTAGGTAAAATTTTAATCCAAATCTAATCTGATTAATTAAGATTACATAATTTATGTAGGTATAGATTTATTATAATATATTTAATGTATTTAGATAAAATAATTTAAAATTTAAAATTTGGTTGGGTAATGTTTAGATGCAACTTTGACAAATTGCATAATGGTAATATTGTTTTCTTTGGATGCCAAAATGATGGTGTTTAAATATTGTTGGTGTGATTTTGACTGTGAATTTCTAAAGTTATTAGGTTCATTAATGCTGTTGAATTTAATGTAAGTGAATTATTGAATATCTAATAGAACTTTTGTAAAGTGATGTACCTATATTTGGATGTGTGTTCTCAAAGGAGTTTATGTGTTTTCAAGTAAAAAATACGTACCAGTGAAATTTACATTTTTTTTTTTTTCAGGTAAAAAAAAATTATTGGTGGAATTTACATGTTATAAATCCAACCCTAAAATCGATTACCTGTAAATCGGTGGAATTAACAATCGCCCCATTCATATTTATACTACCCATTATGCATTTAGTCATCGCAAACACAATGACCGGACAGTGCATTAAATTTCCTATTTGGAAGAGCAAAATTGGATATAGTTCACGGTGTTTGGATACTCTACTTCGAAACAGTAACATTAACTTATAGAAGACAATTAAGGTACGATTTTTGTTGAAAATGCTCGGTTTATTATTAGAAACATTAATTTAAATTAAAAAAAAAAAAAACCAATAGAAAAATCTAACACAATTCTATGTACAATAAACTTTCTTCTTCTAGTCATTGAAATATTATAAACCACAAGAAACTGTAATTATTTGAAACAAAAAAAAAAAAAAACACCTAATCACAATTATTGCCTAATACGGCAATGGTAATTATACATACATGTTAACATATTTAACATACAACATTGTTTCTAAGTTTTCTATGACTGAACAACCGACTACAATGCAATACAAACAATATTTACACATATATATATATGTTATAGGCAATGTTTCATAATTGCTTGCTGTTGCAGTCTGGTCTAAAAATTACCGTGTTAGAACTTCAACATCTAAAATTGGATTAAAACAATCGAGGTTAAATTTAATCTTATTAACCTCATAAAGGATAATTCATAATTAATGCAGGTGTGCTTATACATAAACATAGAAACATGCATAAATTCTGATGAAAATTATTGCCATATAGACATAGTATATTGCCTAAACCTAATGTAAATCAATTTATTTATGTACAACAACACACACAAATAAATATTGTTTACACGGTATTTCAAAAACAATTGTTAGTAATATTTTCAAAGTTTACATAGCAAAGAAATAGATTGAATAGATAAAATCGAAATGAAACCAGACTGGGTTTTAATCGAATTTATTAAAAATATTAATTTGTTTTAATTATTATAGTAAAATTATTAAAAATGTTTTCGTTAAGTTAATAAAAAGACTTACCCCGTACAATAAACAGATGTTAAGAAAATACTTTTTGCCATAAACTTTTTATAAGTTCGCTTCAACAGTAACTGATATAGTTCAGTCTGATTAAAACGGGCCACCACCATTGTTATTACCACTGACAACTATAATTATTACATAAGGATAGTATTTTCAAGGTTTTCCGATAACCTTTATGGCTATCCTTATTTTCCATTCCCACGGGGATGATATATGAGTATGTGGTTTGGTGATAGTTGTGTCACATAAATATATAATAAACCATTTTCTAAAGAAAAAACAACTGCTTATGTGGAGCTATAATTATAAATCCTTGAACTAGTTTGTCTGATGAATAATTTAGTTTTGCCCCTAAATTATATAAACGAGCACATAAATCCTAGTGAATATCGATTTATAAACAAACGTATTCGAAAAAATCTATATATTTCTATAACGACATTCACGAAGAGTATCCGGAAAATTTTAAATTATTAATGTTTGCATATAATGTATAATATAACATAATATGTTCTATCTCAAGTAATAGAAGCTCGAATTTTGTCATTTGCTAAGGAAACTAGGAGACTCCTGTCATGGAGCCCTAGGGCTCCGTAGAGTACAATTTGAAAACCGCGAAAGTAACCCATTTATCTGTGGGAGAGGAAGACAGGTGAAACTTTAAGTTTATTAAAATTGTGAAAATCTTAGTATCTTTCAAATAAATTAAAACGACAAACATTTTAGAATAATTTCCTGAAAAATAGTAATTTATATTAAATATATCTTTTTAAATAATTTAAAATCAATTTAAAACATCACGCTTAATTTTCTTCTTCAAATTATTTTCTCATGCATACATTTTTTGAAATAATTAATGTTATATTTTGCAATAATATCGATTTTACAAGCATATAATTAAGCGTAATATATAGTTGGTAAAAATTCATTTTTCTTAAAAAAAAGGTAATTTTCTTCGGGCCACTGCGTGTGTATGTGTTTTTGTATACATATAATATAGTTCGACCTAATTACAATTTTAATAAGAACACTTAAGGGTTATTGGTAATATTTGTGTGTATGAAAAAATGGCAAGTCTTTAGAAATCGAGGGTAGTCTCTAGAGCATAGGATAAAAAAAAAATTATACCTTTTTTTATCTTACATATATTCTTCTTTTTCTGTTATGACTTACTCTTGTTATGGATAATTATACATTTTCTAAAGGGAACATGGAAAACAACAGTCTTTTAAATTAATTTTATCTCTACTTATTACGCTTATTAAAGTAATCTAATTTAATAAGCTATTTAATTTTGGAAACTAATGTTTAGACTCGTATTTTTGGAAATTTTCTTCCTTCCTTCTTTTTTTTTTTTTTTTTGCCCAGACAGTAATATTAAATCTCTACCATCCGTAATCTTTATTGACTTAAAATTAAATAATTAAGTCTTTAATCTTATTTAACTCGGCATACTTTTACGAATTTATAATCGACTTTGCATTGACGTACTACTTACTCCGTAATTACTTTTCCAATTATTCTCTTTTAGTATAAGGTTTACTGGATTAAAAAATTATGAGTTTCAGATAATAAATTATTTTATAAACGCAAAATTTGGTATTATTGCTAACATTTTATGAGTAATAAATCAATATTTTTTATTTTTTTGTTTATATATTTTATACATAACTATAAAGTTTAAATTGTTATTACGATCACACTCAAATTTTATATAAAACGATATACATTGTAGAAAAAATCATCTTAGTCATATAAATCATAGTCATAGAAATGCAGGACAACTGTCCGTAGCAATTCTAAATACTGAAATCCAATTTCCAAGATAAATCATTGGAAATCTTAGTACACTTCAAAAATTGAAATATCAACACGAAAACCTGTACAAAAAACTACCAATAAATAAAATTATTTTTTTTAAAAATGTGCACATATTACAATAATTGCAAACGCTATAATGCATACTTGAAGGAAACTATAGCAGTTTCATCGTAATGTTCGTCGTTCCACACTATTGTTAGCAAACACTATACAGTTACTACACTCTGTGCAGTGCATACAATGAAAGATTGATAAGGGTGTAATAGAAACTCGTGTTTTGTACTTTGTACACTGAAATATATTTGTAGTCACGACCTGCAAGAGCATTTACGGGTTGACGAATGGAAGTGGTGAAAAATGATCGAGTTGGAGATTAAGTGAATGGGAATTTTTCGGACATTGATAATAATCGAGAAAAAAACATCCTTGAAAGAAACTCTTTATTTTATTTATTATTTTCACGATCAATAATTCAATTCATTTTTTTTTTCATGCAAACACGTAAGTAATAAAAAAATATTTAAAAATATAAAAAAAAATCTCAAGACCAAATATTTTTTAATATGCTGAGACGACCGCTTTTACACGTACCGTTATTTTTCCTTGACGGATTTATGGTACAAATATAAAAATTGATTCACGTTTTCAATCGTTTTTGTTTTTTCAATCTCTTAACTTAATATAAAAATGGTTTCAAAATATGCACTTCAATTTTTGTATTACCTATTTAAGTTAGTCAAACACTTGAAATAAAGAAAAAAAAATCTTACGCACGTTCCATTCTAAAGCATCTGTTCGTTATCTTAAAAACACGTTATGTTTGACTTTATTCTCCAATTAATAGTGCTCAAATATTCCTTTAATTCGTTTTACATCACTTTTACATTACAGTTTCTCGCATTTAGACTAAAGGTTGTGTTTTTAAACCTCGTTTAAATACATTATAATTGTTGGTCCTTAACTGAAGGAAATTGTACAGATATCGTAAAATCTATCATATCAAAATACGTACATATGGCTTATCTTTAAAATCATAAGAATAAACTCAATATGCTAAAATATAAAGTTAATGCACATAATCACTAATTAATAATGTATTATTTCTTTTAATAATACTTATTTTATGGATTCATTTTACATTTGGCTAATACTCAATAAAACATTTTTTGGGAAAAACTGAACAGTTTTCTCAAACTTAAAAACTTGGCTAGGTTTTTTTTAGAAAAAAAAAATATTTTATTTTGGTCGTGTAGTAATTCAAACATTAATTAACTTAAATTTTTAAGCTGGATTATTACATCGTACAATGGTAACTACAGGGGATAAATATTTTTATTGTTTACACATATTTATTTACGGAACGCAATATTTTATTTTATAATGCCAATTTTTAAATCGAATTGTCTGCAGATATATAAAAATATATTTTTAGTGATATATATTTAAAAACTTTTTCTACTCGTGGCAATATTTCAATATTTCTATTTTTAATCGAGGATAAGGCTTTTTTTTCAATCAATTTTGTGATTTTATACTGTTTTCGCCCGGGGTAGTAAGTCATACTGGAAAGTCGATCCGTGTGGTATGTTTAATATATCTCCTTATACTTTGTTTAATGAAGAATATTCGAGGAGAATCTTTAGTCGTTGAAAA